ATAAATGCGCGCACATACATACATACACATACACGCATAACCCCCCCTCAATAGATAACATGGATGAACAAAGAGAAGCCCCTGACGGGCCTGCTAGCAAGCAGAGAAGACAAAGTATTCAGACTGAGTCAATAACCGAGAAGTTAAATGACATATACGGGTTTGCTATGGATGTGGTTGAGGTATGTGAGCCGATGATTTGTTTGCAACTTTAATACGGAAATGGATATACTTACAAATCATGTACATGCCTATTGATGTGCAATTCTATATCCTACAAATTTGTTTGCATTAGGCGAGTTGATCTTTTGCACTATACTTTTTTTACCAGAGACACACATAGCATGATTTGCTCGTGCATTGCTTTGTAAAACTCATTCCCGAATCTGGAAAAGAGTGATATATGTCACCATACCGTATGAGTTTTATTCGGAAAATGCTTGTCTGTATTAATTATCTTGATATTAATTTAGTGCTAGACAAAATAAATACGGAGCTATGAAACACCTACTTCCCAGTTTGAAACCTTGTAAGATTGTATTGAAACACAGAACCAATTTTTAATTACTCTATGCAAATGCGTTTCCTCGAAAACTTGCATGCTTTGAAACTAACTAGTTGATTTAAAGAACACAAATATATATATATATATATATATATATATATAACTAATAATATATATATATATATATATATATATATATAGTATATATATATTATATTATGCATATATATATATATACAATATATCGGTATATGTATATATAGATACGTACATATATATATATGTATATGTATATATATATATATATGTGTATATGTATATATATATAGAGATATATATTTAGTTATGATTGTATGTATACATCTTTGATATGTGTATACGCGTATATGTATATATTTATATATATATATATATATATATATATAATATATATACATACATATATATAATATACACGTATATTATATAATATATATATATAATTATGATTGTATGTATACACCTTTGATATGTGTATACGCGTATATGTATATGTATATATATATACATGTACATATATATATGTGGGTGTATATATAAATTTATATATTTTATTAGTATTATGTGGGTGTGAGTGTGTGTTTGTGTTTGTATATGTATGTATACATATATATGTGCAGGTATAAATGTATATTATATGAAGTATATGTATATTTTTATGTTTTTTAACATGAATGAACAGTAGTATGGACCCGTCAGCTTCCAACTTTATGCCAACGCAGATACGGACGCCCGCCCCTAGATACTATTCCGCAGCCGCTGCACAAGTTGAAACAGATGAGAAGGATGCTTCTTCGCCTCCTAAGGTATTTGTAGGCTATGGTTGGACAGTTGTGAAACATTTTATCTGAAGCTCCTCTCACCCTACCTATACCAATGAGTCAGCCGCAGCACTTAGACTGTACATGACCACTACACGAGTGCAGACTACCATATGCACTACATTGTAGAACGATATGTAGTCAATCGTGTGTGGTTGTTGACGATAGTGTTGGCTGATATGAGTTGTTGTCATTGCCTTGTGTGTCAGTTCAAGGGTCGCAGTTGTTATGTTGTGTTGTCTGTGCTTGTATTTGTGCGTGCAGCATAGCTCTGGCGAACTCATTCCACTACACGTATGCTGCATGACCTCATCTATGCTAAGGCTACTGTTGGCAATCAACGCGTTCATCCTATATCGCTGAGAGTCTGTATTGTATGATTTTATCAATTGTGAATTAATACATATCGCCCAATATTGTCCTTATATCGTTCACCTTCCGAGTTGGTAATTGCATATCAAGTAACTTGCTTTCTACCAGTCATGTTGTGGCACTATCGAACTTTCCTCGTATGTTCTGATATTGTGCACGTGCGGGAGTCCTTCACTCAGAGACAGTCGCTAGATATAATAATACGATGGCCACTCTAGTTCAAAAGTCAGAAAGAATGTCTTGAACAGAACAAACTCACCGAGCCTTGTCACGCGGTTATGTTTGACATGTACGTTTCTCTAGGCGATCGTACATCTGGAGGGCGCCAACTTGCGCAAGAAGTATTTGCTGCACGAACTCAACAGGACGTTGGCGTCATCGTCAATGGTGGCTGTGCTACAGCACCACAGTCTCTCTGTAGAGGAGATGATGGCGTAAGTGACTACTTTTAAATGGGTGGTAGCTTGCTGAGTCTGGTGTTGATAGTGGTGCCTGTATCGCTGTGGGGGTAGTAGGCTATGAACAGGCACAACCAGGGCTTTACCTACAGATTGCTTTGCTCAGAGTTGTGGATAGAAGTGTATTTATATGGAGTGTGATTTAACACATGTACAGCACATCTTGAAATGCTGTCACGACATGTCACCGCCTCGCCTGTACTAGATTCTCTCGCAGAGACCACTTTTGCCTTTGTTGCTATTACAAAGCCGAGTAGTTGATCCAAATTCCCACTCATCTTTTGGACTGCATGTTTTGAAAACAGGTTTCGTCAGACGCTCAAGGCCAAGAATTTGGAGTTCACAATTGTACGGAACAAACTTACGCGGAAGGCTCTTGCAGGTGTGCATCGGTTCTTAGTCTTCCCACTCCACTCGCGTCTCAAGTAGCCCATCTACTCACGAATTACTCAAGGCTATAATGACCAACCCGATCGCAGGGTGTGCAAATTCACACGCGGAGATGGCAGCTATGTGAGATCTGCTGTCCTTGCTTTGCTAATGACATGGCTTGCATTGCTAATAACATGGCTTACATTACTAATGACATGGCTTGCATTGCTAATGACATGGCTTGCATTGCTAATGACATGGCTTGCATTGCTAATGACATGGCTTGCATTGCTAATGACATGGCTTGCATTGCTAATGACATGGCTTGCATTGCTGATGACATGGCTTACATTGCCAATGACATGGCTTGCATTGCTAATGACATGGCTTACATTGCTAATGGCATGGCTGGCATTGCTAATGACATGGCTTGCATTGCTAATGACATGGCTTGCATTGCTAATGACATGGCTTGCATTGCTAACGACATGGCTTACATTGCTAACGACATGGCTTGCATTGCTAATGACATGGCTTACATTGCTAATAACATGGCTGGCATTGCTAATGACATGATATCGAACAAGAGACTGAATCCGCAAGCGTTGACTTGGCCCAGTACAGCCGCCTTCACGTTTTGTTTCTGGTGTCTTGTGATTCTGACGGGTGTTAGTTAGCGTTGGTTGTTTGTTGATTCGTTCATACTGTACTGTACTAACCTCTGCCCTGGATCTGCGCCTCATTCATAAAGGGTGTCTTGTGATTCTGTTGGGTGTAAGTTAGTGTTGGTTGGTTGTTTAATTGTTCATACTGTACTATCCTCTGCCCTGGATCTGCGCCTCCTTCGTAAAGGGTGTTGTTGTGCCATACCACTGTTGCACGTGTTGCAGCATTCATGACAACGTTCCCCCACGCTCTCCCTTTGGCAGGGACGTCGTATGCCCAGTTGTCTACGCTATTCCGCAGTACAACATGTATTGTGTACAGTGCCGAGCCCGGCGTGAAGGATTTGATGGAGGTTCTGAAAAAGGAGAAGAAGATGGTAAGTTTGTGTTTACCACCGTGAGCTGTTACTTCTGTTTGTACCTGTGTGGATATGTATGTGTATGCACGATGATGTCTTTTATCTGTGTACCAGCGATAGCTTATGGTAGCTAAGTAATATATGCATCAGAAAGGTTTCTGCTGCGGTGGGGTGTAGAGTAGGTAGTTGGTATATGTTGTGATGATTCTTTTGCATATCACTACACATTAAAGTAAAGCGTGAGAGCACGTGACGTGGTGTTTAAAGATATGTAAAATGTTTCACAAACAATTGTTGTTAAGCAATCATATATTTACGCAATTATAATATGTTTAAGCAACTATATTATGTTCAAGCAATTATAATATGTTCAAGCAATTATAATATGGTCAAGCAATTATAATATGCTTAATCAATTGCTCTATGTTCGAGCAATTATAATATGTTTAAGCAATTGCTATATATTTAAGCAATTATGATATGTTCAAGTAATTTATGTTAAGCAATTATAATGTTTAAACAATTACAATATGTTCAAGCAATTATATTTTTAAGCAATGTACAAACGAGTGCTCAAACGTTCACAGCATTCCTGCATAATTGCTTAAATGCGCATAATGCGATGCGAAATCTATACCACAGCGTCTGTTGTGGTGCATTCTGCTGTACGTTTATACTGCGAATGGTCTGCTATGGCACACGTGTATGTGCTCCGTGTAGTAGTTGTAGCGCTTGTCTCAAAGTGCTCCTCTTTTTAAACACTGCTGTGCTACCCTTCATCCGAACATGTGGAATTAAAGCAGAACTGCCATTATTAATTATTATCATGCCTCTCCTCCCACCTGTTGTTAACATGCCTCTCCTCTCACCAGTTGTTAACATGCCTCTCCTCTCACCAGTTATTAACATGCCTCTCCTCTCACCAGTTGTTAACATGCCTCTCCTCTTACCAGTTGTTAACATGCCTCTCCTCTCACCAGTGGTTAACATGCCTCTCCTCTCACCAGTTATTAACATGCCTCTCCTCTCACCAGTTATTAACATGCCTCTCCTCTCACCAGTTTTTAACATGCCTCTCCTCTCACCAGTTATTAACATGCCTCTCCACTCACCAGTTATTAACATGCCTTTCCTCTCACCAGTAGTTAACATGCCTCTCCTCACCACACCATCTGCATCAGATCTTGCTGGGTGTGCACGTGGATAGTTTTACGTTAGACGTTGAGCAAGTGCAAAAGTATATCAAATTGCCTTCGCTGGAGGACCAACGCGCCCAAATCCTGTCGCTCATCAACCAGCCTGCTCAGCTGCTGGCGTCGTTATTAACGGTCTGTTACTCGCGTGTGGATGTGCATGTATGCCATAGTTGTCTCTGTCTCTGTGTCGCGGTATTGTCATTAGGCTCATAGACTTGTTGTATGGTGTTGTGTGGTATAGTGACCATGCCTTCGGTTGTTTCTTGCGTCATTATTAAATGCATTCGGTTGATTCTTGAGTCGTTATTAACGGTCTGTTACTCGCTTGTGGTTGTGCATGTATGCCATAGTTATCTCTGTCTCTGTGTCGCGGTATTGTCATTAGGCTATAGGCTCATAGACTTGTTGTATGGTGTTGTGTGGTATAGTGTCCATGCCATCGGTTGCTTCTTGCGTCGTTATTAAATGCATTCAGTTGATTATTGCGTCGTTATTAACGGTCTGTTACCCGCTTGTGGTTGTGCATGTATGCCATAGTTGTCTCTGTGTCTGTGTCGCGGTATTGTTATTAGGCTATAGGCTCATAGTCTGGTATGGTGTTGTGTGGTGTAGTGTCCTTGCCTTCGGTTGATTCTTGCGTCGTTATTAACGGTCTGTTACTCGCTTGTGGTTGTGCATGTATGCCATAGTTGTCTCTGTCTCTGTGTCGCTGTATTGTTATTAGGCTATAGGCTCATAGTCTTGTATGGTGTTGTGTGGTAGAGTGACCATGCCTTCGGTTGCTTCTTGCGTCGTTATTAACGGTCGGTTACTTGCGTGTGTTTGTGCATGTATGCCATAGTTATCTGTGTCCTGTATTCTTGTTAGCTTGTTAGGGTATGGGCTCATAGTCTTGTATGGTATTGTGTCCTTGCCTTTGGTTTGCGTGCAAATGCCGAACAAGTCGCAGAACGAGTAGTATAGGTCATCTGCTGTTGGGGGTTGCTGTTGGGTTTGTTAATGTCCTGTGAGCTCATGCCTCCGCTCAGGTGGGAAGTTTCAAGAAGATTTTTGTGTTCTATTTAGGAGGCTGTGGATTTTGCTGGCTCTTCGTTGAGTTTTAGGTTTGGAGTTTAGCTAAAAACCCTAACCCAGTTGAGCGGGCGATCTCGAATTATGATTCGTTTGTGTATCAATCTCAACTTCGTATAGCTTCTGATACGCCTATGTTTGTCTTGTTCACTCGACCACCACAGAGAGGACCTCAAGAGTTGGTGTCGTTACTGCAACGGCATGCGGACGAGGCCAACAAAGACAAACCTGAGGAGTAATCGCAGTAATCATTTGTATGATCAAGTCTGAATAAATGTGATACTGCATAATACGCAGTATGGATGGGTCAAATCTATGGCATGTACCTTGGAGAGTTATAAATCTATGGCATATACCTTGGAAAGTTATAAATCTATGGCATATACCTTGGATAAGTATAATCTATGGCATATACCTTGGAGAGTTATAGTTCACATAAGATGGACGTCGTTTCTGATGCGAAAGATAATAGACAAAAGCCTATCATATTCTTGATTGGCATGGTGTAAATTAATCTGTGCAACAGCCTTCTCATATGGGCTTCATAATGCATACATTTGAAGATGGGGTAGTCCACCTGTATGATAGAATGATTACATTGCAAAGCAGAGCACTGACTGTTTTACATTTGAAGATGGGGCTATAATCCACTTGTATGATAGAATGACTACATTGCAAAGCAGAGCACTGACTGTTTTACATTTGAAGATGGGACTATAGTCCACATGTATGATAGAATGACTACATTGCAAAGCAGAGCACTGACTGTTTTCTGGACTGTCAGTAGAGAGCGCATTGACTGCACAGGCCAACACGCATGGGAGAGACTGCCAATTCCTCAACACAACAACGATACAGTGAGTATGGAACATATAGGGCATGTGGAGATATGAGCCCCATCACTACGAGCAATTGTACACTCAGTTCAACACCTTTGGTATGTTTGGACATTTAGACTAACAAGCAAGACCTCTGGATGCCGCTGGGCAGTTTCATCAGTGCTGCACAGTAGACAGATACCCACCCCACCCAAACTAAGCCGACCTACTGCAATTGACAGAAGGTATAAAAGCAGTTCCCTGCTGAGGTATGAGGGACTGGGGCTGAACTTTGTAGTCATTACAAACTTCAACTTCGAGGTTGTAAGATGGCGTGTGGTACTGGATTCGAGACAAGCTCTATCAAGCACCTACAATTACTACCCCTCCATTGCATGACCGTATGCTTTGTTCTTCTGTAGCACCTACAATTTCCAACAAGTACTGTTTTTAATGGTCGGCTGATGCTGCCCACCCTCAATGGAGGATAGAGTGATCACACACTGTAGCATTCATACACAATATTGTTGCGTTTCTCAATATGCATTACCTCAGTGCAACAAGTCAGTGTATTCGTGTACTTTGCTTGATAGATGAACCTTCCGCTTAAACAATTTCAAAATTATACCGTGTACCCTGGTCTGAGAATACCGGATCTTCAGTACAGTACCTTTACTTAAACTACGCATCTATTTTAACTTGTGTCAAAAGTTTACCTTAGAAGTATTTGTGCTAGCCTGATTCTGGACTATAGTATTAAACGAAAGTTAGTGAATTGTATCTCATTTTCCCATGGTATCAGTCAATGTCCTTAGGTCACTTAGTATCAGTAATAGCCTACTAGTTGTAGATTTGCAAAAAAGAACCCCCCCCCCCCATCGCAGGCCTCACTCTTTGTTTGTAACAAATCGGCGAATACTGACGGGACGAAGGCATTGTGAGCGACTCAGGCTTTTTTGAACTAGATGCAAACTACATTGGAAAGTTTTAGTAAGGATAGATGCGAACTTTGTATGAATCTTTAGTAAGGATAGATGCAAACTATATTTGAAAGTTTTAGTAAGGATAGATGCGAACTATGTATGAAACTTTAGTAAGGATAGATGCAAACTATATTTGAAAGTTTTAGTAAGGATAGATGCGAACTTTGTATGAAACTTTAGTAAGGATAGATGCAAACTATATTTGAAAGTTTTAGTAAGGATAAATGCGAACTTTGTATGAAACTTTAGTAAGGATAGATGCAAACTATATTTGAAAGTTTTAGTAAGGATAGATGCGAACTTTGTATGAAACTTTAGGAAGGATAGATGCAAACTATATTTGAAAGTTTTAGTAAGGATAGATACAAACTATACTTGAATGTTTAGCAAGGAGGGAATGCCAATTGTGGCCCCGTCTGTGAATACATGGGCGCCTGATAAAAATTTACATGCAGTTTTCGTTTTAAACATTTACTTACCGACCAACCCTGATACACTAATTTAGGCACAGTTTGAAACTTGATTTACGACAAATTTACCCATATAACTTTATACATAGCAACTCTTAATTTTCTACATCTACTGCAACTGCTTCTTTGCTGAACATTCAAATGTTGAAGTCTACTTTCAAGTTCCAACTACTGCTTGCCACCACAGATAATATTGTTATCCCAATGCTTACATGTAGAAAATATTCATCATCCAACATAGGCAGCACAAAAGCCATATTTCGCTTTCAGGAGTATTCCCACCCCGGGCTATAAGTGATACAGCATGCAGGAAAGTTTGTCTTTGTATGCTTAAATGCTCTGGATTAATATAGCTTCAGACCTGAAGTAGTTTCATAGCCTCCTTTAAAAAAGAACAGTAAGTTGCTATGTAAAATTTTAAACATATTTTATTTAACGTTCGGATCGAAGTGCAGTCTGTGCACTGTGTGCAGTGTGCACTTGTGCAGAGTGTATTTTAGACAGTGCAGTCTGTGCACTGTGTGCAGTGTGCACTTGTGCAGAGTGTATTTTAGACAGTGCAGTCTGTGCACTGTGTGCAGTGTGCACTTGTGCAGAGTGTATTTTAGACAGTGCAGTCTGTGTACTGTGTGCAGTGTGCACTTGTGCAGAGTGTATTTTAGACAGTGCAGTGCAGACTGTTGTGGCCTACGAGTGCGGAGTGGCGAGTGCTCACTGCTCACTGCTCACTACTGTCTGGTGAATGGTGACTGGTGACTGGTGACCATCGGTCATCGGGCATCGGTCAACAGTCAACTGTCATTGACATTCACATCAGACATCAGGATTGGTCCGGCGTTTTGTACTCCTTTCCCGCGTATTTTCTCACGACATCTATTTATATCTGGCCTCAGTGGCCAGTCAGTATTGGTTTATTTTGGTATAGGCCAATGCACAGCAATTTAGCTTGCACACTTGCTCGTATCCTCATTAGGCAAATTCCAAACACAAATAAACGTAAACAACGCAAATATTAATATATTTTTTATCACAAAAAGGCATTGACATCTCATGATGACATGCCCGCGACACAGGAGAATCAAGAATGTCAACAACAACGATATAGTGCAAACACACTGGCCCCCCAATATGCACTTTGAAAGTTCAATGCGATAAATAAACTATGCAGGCCCTCCGACGCGCACAAATCACAGCTCGCTCATTTTCTACCGCACGATACAATATGGTTAAGGTTGGAGACAAGATCCCCGCGGGAACATTCAAGGTACGTACACCTGCACCTGTTCTGAACACTTTATTTCACATACACCTGCACCTGTTCTGAACACTTTATTTCTTTAACCTGTACAATTAGTAGATATAACTGTTTTGCAACTAGTATATAGAAGTACTTCTTGATGCGCATCGTTGGCAGTTCTAGTGCATTCTTTTGAAGTATATCTGTCTGTTCTCTCCAGTCTATATATACTCAACTGTATTCTGCTGAAGCGCTATGTTGTACCTGGTCATCCGTCGATGTTTTTACTTTTGGGTTGAAGCCCCACACACGGTGTAGTGAGTTGCTAGTGTTTCTATGCAGAATCGAGTTATTTGCTGGCCATAAGAGTGCTCCCATGATGGTATCTCTCACATCCCTCATATCCTATGTCTCTCACCTGTTTAACTTTATTTATCGAACAGATTATCCGGGATGGTGCCCCCACTGATGTGCCCACTTCAGAAGTCTTCGACGGAAAGAAGGTTGTGGTTCTAGGGTATGTCTGTTTTCCGTAGGACGGTAGTATGTTTAAGACGGTGATCTTTGACAGTCTACCTATTGTTGTATTTGTTCTATAGCGGCTATACTGTTCTCATGCAGCAGCGGTCCTATGCAAAGTCTTCACATGTGTTAAACTAGCCTACACCACTTTTGGCGTGAGAGGTTTATATGGACATTTGCCGCACTCAATGTAACTGCTCCTACTGCAGTGAGTTGCTAGTGTTTCTATGCAGAATCGAGTTATTTGCTGGCCATAAGAGTGCTCCCATGCAATTTAATAATTCAGATATTTCGGAAGCCTGTACCGGGGTTTTGTGTACTGGTGGCTAGTTCTTCGCGGAGTCAGTACATTTTTATCTTTAACCCGAGTGACCACAAAATTTTCTCATTGTGCTATTTCAATATTATTTTCTCTTTCTATCTATACCATATAGTGTTCCAGGAGCTTTCACACCCACTTGCTCTAATAGTCATCTGCCTGGTTACATCGAGAAAGACGCTGAGATCAAGAACAAAGGCGTCGACAGTATCATCTGTCTATCCGTGAATGATTGCTTTGTGATGGATGCATGGAGCAAGGACGTGGGTGCTACAGGCAAGGTACATATGAGGTTTCTATAAAGCTTTGTCTATTGATCTATTCAACTTAAACTGGTTGAACCAGTGGTATCGGTCCCTGTACACCCGAAAATGGTGTTAAGAATGGTGGGTCTGCATCTCGCGCTGTGAACTCTGCGACGGATTGAAGACACTAATCCTTCAAGGTTGTATTCAGTGGTCACTTAATTCAACCCCTTGTACATCCGTAAGGGAGGTCGGATATGTATTGTTAGTTGTCGTGCGTTTAGAGTCTTTGTATTTGTATTAACCACGGCAGAGATGCCGGGTGTGTTTTATGGTTTATCTAGTAGGCATGAATGTTTACTCATATAAAGGTGTACATGGAATATATAGATTGTTGTTGTACTTGAGACCATATTATAGGTAAATACTCTTGTATGGGTTATTTACTCTATCAATCCAGCTCGATGGCCCCCGATACCCCTAAATTAATTTGTGACACTAAGCCACAGCTCATTATACACTGCCCTGCTTTGTTTATTTTAGTCTGTGCACATAAGCAAATAATTTCTCTGTCCTCAATTGGATTGGAGGTTGTGATTCGCCTCGCTTCTATTTGGGACGAAAGTGCGTCACCCTATATAATTATGCCGTACTACATACAATGCGTTGGTATCTTCAAGCTTCCCATGGTTTATTTTGTGCTAATGAAACCCAAATACCCGCTGCCCAGGTGGACTTGTACGCTGACGGTGGAGCCACATGGCACAAGGCTGCGGATCTGGCCCAAGATCTGGGTGACTTTGGCGGACCCCGCGCGCAGCGCTACAGCATGGTGGTGGAGAACGGAGAGATTAAATCCCTCAATGTGGAGCCAGCCGCAGCCGACCAGTGCTCTTTTGCGCCTAATATCCTCAAGCAGTTGTAAAAGCCACTTGTGCTGTCTCTGCATACGTACATTCACAGTGGTGATTGATTTGACCGTCACAAGTATAATGGGTCTCAGCAGTGGTGAAAATTACACCATTGAGATCTTGCCGCCAAATGAATGGTGCGCGTAGTTGCGATGTATATATAGTATAAAGCAGAAAATATGGAGAAAACAATTATTAAAATCGGTTTGCTCTCGAGTTGAGAAAGTAATTGGTTAACTAATATTCTCATTTTGTTTAATACGATTTTATTTACATTGTAATGGATAGCATATTGAGATTCATTCGAATGTAAATATGATCATGGCCATTTGCACTTTGCACTTGGACTAACTCAATAGCCAGACATCAGTGGTGTTCGAGTGGTATTGTAAATCTAATTTAAATACTTTTTCTTTTGCCTTCATGCTTTTATTTACATCGACTAAAATAATTAAGTATCGTTGTAGAGAATATATAGTATGCATTTCGACATGCTTAGTCACGAATATATTCTATGTAAAACTCAACCTTGACAAAGCATCAATTCGATATTCGAGATGATATAATATCTCCAAATATGAGATGCATACAGTGGCGGTAGCATCAAACCTAATGGATTAAATCAGTCCGAATAATACGAACCCTTTTATTGAACTGCGCTACTGGAGTACGAATGGAACAATTTTTGTGTGGAAGGGCATGGTGGACGTACAACCATCCACTGTCCGTTCTAGATCGACGCTGTCGTATTTCTGCACGAAAAATCGCGCAACTTTATGCGGCGGCCAGCCATTCAAGCATACACGCAGGACAGCGAACCAGTTCTCCTAAACAACACCGTCAGCCGCGTACTTGGCAGCTGTGTACGTGAACTCGGAGTTACGGCCAAATCCTTCTGGGCCGAAATCTTTTCCGTAGCACCCTTTACAGTATGGTGTATCCTCTCGCATGCACTCTGCCCCAAGAGAGAGTGCCTTAGCACAGCCGTTGCATTTGAAACACTGCTTATGCCATGGCTTTCCGCCCACGCTGAGTTTCTCTGCGGGGTAAACGGATTTCATACACTTCGAACACTTCTCACTTTGTACGGTGACACGCACGCCAGTCTGTAGGATGGAGGAATCAACTCTAGGCTTTAAGAGATAGTGCGTATAATTTTCTAACTCATCACTCTGGGATTCAGTTTTAATGAAAATCACTCATGGAACGCTGTATATGTGATAAATTGAATGTGTGACTAGAAGGTTGTGTTGCATATACGAACAACTTATACGTCGATTGTTATCTTTCAATAGATAGTAGTTATCCGTGGAGTAAATGAGCACAGGAAGGGCCATGATAAACACTAAACAGTGCTACTAATAGTGTGTGTTCCCCACATTCACCGACTGCGCACATATACCACTGCCATCTAGCATTTTATGAAATCATCGTCAAAAGGTCGTATGTGACACTACCAACGAACACACAATACACCTTTCACCACTTAAATAGCTAAACAACTACCTATTACACTCTAAACCCTACACAACAAACCATTGTACATTATAAGTTTCATCTTTAAATGAAGTACCTACCGTTCTGCGAGTCCAGCCAACGGCAGCGTTCGTGTTAGGAATAGTTTTACTTGGCTGTTTGGAGAGTACCTGAACACATGTCTGACAGGTAGGATTGCCAAACACCAATGCATACGCACCTGCTCCGATTTCCGATGCACAGGTCTTACATTTGAAGCACTGTGTAAATCAGTTTACGCATTAGCGATCATACCACAACAAATGCTGGTAGTGTTGCTTAATTTCCATGATGGCAAATGCACATGACTATCTGATTTCTCTGTCATAGCCGACTTAAAAAACTCGTCATTCAAGTATTATATAATCACGATGAAGTATTTAGCATTTTACGCGCTCGCTGACAGCGAACCAGTCATATAGATGTACTGATAGGTCACTCATGTACAATGTGTTGCCTCACAGAACCAAGCAATCTAATGCATCCACAATACAAAAGTTTTCTACCATCTCTTGACTTTGGATAGAAATGCATTAAGATGTGCACAAACAAAATCAAAATCCACGATTCATACATACCTGTTTATGGTATTTGGCGTCTCCAGCTTCTAAGTACTGCACAGCTTCGAGTGCTTCGCTACAACCGTTACATCTGGGGAGGGTTTGCTGAGCCATCATAGTGGGGATTTTATGTAAAATATAGAGGATAGTGGCAGGATTCTGCTGTAGCAGGTGTGTAACCTTAGCTGCAGCCGAATGCTCTCTTTTGTATAGATGTTGTGATAGACAGCAATGACAACAGCTGATGACTAGGTGTGAATATATGACTAGGAGTGTGCTCAAGACTTCAGGTCTCTTGATTAGAAGGCTTTTACAGATGCTACATAACGAACATCGGGAAATAAGACCGGTGGCCATATTCTGCCACCCAGATTGGCACAATAGGCAATTACCGTATTGACCACTTCGCCGACCAACACAGAAAAATTCTACCCCACCGAATATAAAGATCCTTATCGCTATCGAGAGAGATCAGTGGTATATGTTGTAAATTGCTTTTGGTTGTCGCAAATGGGGATCAATTATACTACCCTAAACCAGCGAGAGAATCTGATTTAGTACAAACAAAATGTTTGACATAAAATAAATACAAAAAAATACAACTATTTCTAGTTCCAGGCACACTTTCTACTACTGCTACTAGTAGAGAGCGATAAAACGGCTGTGATCTCCATCAGCCATCTCTAGTGGGAGACCAGAGGTTCACTTTAAAAAATACATCCCTAGTTCGTCATGATATCCGCACCGTTGCCTCCGAGCAAGCGCTGCTTTACTGATCATCATTCTGTTACGTGTGTGAGCAACGAACTTTTGTAAAAGCAAGTCGTGAATTTCAAAACATACGGACCTCCAATAAAGGCATATACTCTCCTCCGTGTTCATACGAGCTTCTTTGTTATTAGCACTTCGAACAGAATTTTATTCCTCTGGATTACATATTGTAAGTAGTGATTCATCTACTACTTGGCTCTACTCTTCAATACAAGGTTAGTGCATGAAAGATCAGTATCGACAGGATGCAGGACCCATCACCTACACCTACATATCTGGTGATGCCCTCACATGTCGAGACCAACCGCCCAGGTTCTGACAATTGTGGATCTCTAAAAATATCAACCACGCGTAAGCAGTACAATCTTAGTCAAGACTCTGTGGTGGTGGATATCGATAACCATGATAACGGTACCCTTGGTTTAGTACATACAAATGAGAAAGCTGTATCAGACGGCCATGCAGCATTGCAAGTTCACAACGTTGAGAACATACACAGTGACACAGACAAATTCCAGATGGGGACCAGTGTGGAACAGGGTGCCAATGACAGTGGAGCATATAACGGCACAGGGCGGCAGAGAGATCAAGGGAGCAGTAAACCAGCCAGAAAGCAGTGGACACTGGAGCAGCAGATGCAGCAAGACGCCCGAGTCGTCACCCAGGCCGTTTACACGTAAGTGATTTAGTGCGGATTGACTCAAGCTAGTGGTCTGTTTACGTGTACTCAGAGGCCATACCCTGTGTTCAGTTGAAGTTTGTATAGTGCTGGTTCGTGGTATCACAGTGGTTGGATATTTCGTGGCGTGTGCGTTGTCCGCCTCTCTCACGCCCTTCAGCACCAACCGCACATGAAGTGTGCAACGTCTGTCATGAGGGTCACTTGTATCGTTACACCTACGTAGCTCATCTGACTATTCCACTGGCCATGTCTGCAGTTTCACTAGACCAGTGAATTTTCACTGCAGTAGGTAGGAACATAACAGCTTCACAATTGTATGTATGTGGGTAATTGTTTTGTAGGCACCTATCACTTCATATCAGCTACGAATCGAACTAGAAAACAAATCTCCTGTGTGTCGCAATTCTGCCTGATTCTCATTTGACATCAGAGCTATTGAGCTCATCCTGGTCGTAATACGGTTAGTCAGTTTCGCATTGCTCCCCCGTGACTGACTCTATGGGGTTCATTCTGCTGGCTGCGTGGCAAGTGAGCTAGCGGCCTCCTCTGTCTCGGTGTTTGACATATTTGTTCACCCGTCGTCGCTACTGTAGTGTGCTGTTCTTTCGATTTGTAACGCTGGTGACGCTATTACAATGCCTCTGTGACCCAAACAAAAGTTGACAAATCACCTATTGTGCTATCCGCTTACTTACATGTTGTGTTAACTGTAGAAATTGCAGCTGTTCTTTTGTGCACTTGTTAATCGAATAGTTTAACTGTCGACAGCGGATATGTATCAAATTATTCGAGCAGAAACGTGGCTATATTATATGTTGTATATGGTTGTTATGGCGTTGTATATGGTTGTTATGGCGTTGTATATGGTTGTTATGGTGTTGTGTATGGTTGTTGTGGCGTATATAAAGACTTCGCTACAAATTTAACGTCAGATAAATTCACATTAAATTTCAACTTATTGTCTTGAGAAGTGAATGTTAGAAACTTGTAGGTAACGGAGCGTGCACCAGGTAACACACCACTGTCAGAACAAGACTTAAAAAGTTTTTCTTTTATTAATTGATTAGTTCTAAATCACGAGTTTATTTATTCAGCCGCAAACTTCGGCAATTTCCCTTTTTTTTTCCACATCCTTTCAAACAATATAAAGGATGCAGTTGCATGCTTTTATCCGATACAGTATATCAGTAGTATGTCCGGTAGATGGACTGTATGAGCAAGCTTATGAAAGTAATGCGTTTATCAGATACAATATATCAGTAGTATATCCAGTAGATGGACTGTATGAGCAAGCTTACGATAGTAATGCTTTTATCAGACACAATATATCAGTAGTATATCCAGTAGATGGACTGTATGAGCACGATTAAAAAAGTACGAAACAAGCTTGTCCATTATCTATGTGCTGAGATTTTGCTGGCCCGTGAGACTAGCCGACTTGACAGCTTCGTTGTACGCCTACGTCTAATTTGTCTGACACTGCTGAGTGGATCTTAAGTACACAGTCCAGTTGCAGGGCTTTGTGTTTTCAACCGCACCGGTCGATCACAGTCACACATACATGACGGGTTAGCTGCATTGTTTGTTGTGAGTTTAAGCGTATGCTTTGTCTAACACACACTAGTGAGCACGCGAGGAGAACTATCAAGTTTCAGAATCGATTTCAAAGTGGAGTTTTAGGGTCGTTGGCACCTCTGATCTCCTATATAGGCACTATTGTATCTGGCTATGTATATTTGTGACGATAACGCAAGCTAAGAGAATCTTACCCATTCCACGGATACTTACATACACCAGTGCAATATTATTCAACAGCATCTATTATGCACCAATGTAATTCTGTGCATGGTCCTACAACAGTACTAACATACATCAGTGTAATATCGTTCATGGTACCACAACAGCGAGGATGGCACACGTCTCTTTGGCTTAGATGCTGAACTGGAAGTGAAGATGAGAGAAACGCACGACCCCAATATGGAGAACAATATCATACGCTGGTTGGAAAAAATGACCGAGATCAAGGTTCGCACGGTGCTGAGGTGTTTATATATGTATATATATATATATATATATATATATATATATATATATATATATATATATATATATACATATATATATATATATATATATATATATGTCTGTATGTATATATATATATATATATATATATATATACTATATATATATACATCCTATATACATATATATATATATATATTAGATATACATATATATATATATATATATATATATATATATATATATATATATATACATATATGTGCAATTTCGTATAAACGTGAAACTAACAGTATATCCATCGTTCCCTTTTGAAGGTGTAAAAGTTGTTCGTTTCACCTTTCTCCTCGTGTGTAAACGGGATACACCGCAGATGTAGAAGCTACATGATGTAGAATTCTTCATATGCAAGGATAACTACACTTCAGATGTAGCAATTGATTCGCAATACATAATTTCCCATTTGGCAAGGATGCTGCAAAGTCACAGACTCGCGACACATTTTAAGGTGAGAAGATTCGAACTGATCTTCTTATATATACACCTATTCTGACGTGTTGTAGATTGTTGAAGACAGCACCATCAGCACAGAGGGGTGGCGCAGTGGTCTTGAAGACGGCGTGCTACTGTGCACTTTAGTGAACATCATCAGACCCGACACAATATCTGCCATCAACGAACCGGTAAATTCCTGACTTTAATTAGGCCAGCTCACGCCGTAAGCTGCTTGCACGCGTTCAAATATGCATTGACTCAAACCAGCAGCATACAACCCAAAATGCAATTGAGACCACATTTGCGCACTCCCTTTGCCAAGTCATAACGTCGTATACAACACACATATTCCACTGCGTGCTGTAGAGATCTAGAGCTGAATTGTGGCAATATACGAAATATTATTGTGTACAATTTCTTTAGCATAAAATAGCAATCTGCTACCTTTTCATAATTCAGATCCAAAATGGCCTCATCTCACCCATTTTCGATAAAACCATCAAACGCAACAGACATCCAAACTTGCAAAATTAGAGAACCTCCGGTCCTTCCAGGCTGGTTGCAAACAACTGAATGTGCCATCCGATGCGAAAATACACGTGAGCGACCTTCACAAGGGGAAGAATCTCAGGGACGTTCTGCATGCGCTTGAAAACTTTGCCAAATTTTGTGATAGTAGTGATGAAATTGAAGGTATGGAGATACGATTGCTCACTTCAAGTTGAGCAACTTCTCTACATGACGCTTCTCGAGTTCTCATCGCTTACAACTATTTAGATGTACAATATACGCTTTAAGAAGCATTGAGGTGACGTGAACTCTTCTACGTGTTCTGAAAACGTACTTGCTTTAACCTTGTGAATACGAGTTGACTCTGTCAAAGTATTGGAGTTCAGCTCTGAATATAAGAACAACACCTTAGCTCTGTCAACGTATTCGAGATCAGCTGAATATAAAAACAACACTTTGGCTCTGTCAAAGTATTGGAGTTCAGCTGAATACAAAAACAGCACCTTGGCTCTGTCAAAGTATTGGAGTTCAGCTGAATATAATAACAACGCCTTAGCTCTGTCAAAGTATTAGAGTTCAGCTCAATATAAGTACAACACCTTGGCTCTGTCAAAGTATTGGAGTTCAGCTCAATATAAGTACAACACCTTAGCTCTTTCAAAGTATAGGAGTTCAGCTCAATATAAGTACAACACCTTAGCTCTGTCAAAGTATTGGAGAGCAGCTGGATTTGCTGGATTGTGTAGATTGTCACAGAAGCGGTGCGAGTGGTTACACTCATTGGTTCATGATATCTAAACCCTAAAAACCTAAACAAAGTTGAACGATTCCAGGTTTTGAATAGAGGAAGTACTGTGACAAAGAGCAAGAGGTGGCAGTCCGTACAAACCAAGCCGAAAATAGGGTCTGTTGCTTCGCGTATTACAATTCTAGGACCAAGAAGTGTTTTATAATTCGATATTAGGGCCTGACTCTGCGCCTGGTGGTCATTTCCTTGTTTGTTTATCATTTTCATTTATGTTTGTCATTTCCATGTCTGTCTGTCATTTTCATGTATGTCTGTCATTTCCATGTATGTTTGTCATTTCCATGTATGTCTCTCATTTCCATGTATGACTGTCATTTCCCGGCATGTTTGTCATTTCCATGTCTATCTGTCATTTTCATGTATGTTTGTCATTTCCATGTATGTCTGTCATTTCCATGTATGTTTGTCATTTCCATGTATGTCTCTCATTTCCATGTATGACTGTCATTTCCCGGTATGTTTGTCATTTCCATGTCTATCTGTCATTTCCATGTATGTTTGTCATTTCCATGTATGTTTGTCATTTCCATGTCTGTCTGTCATTTTCATGTATGTCTGTCATTTCCATGTATGTCTGTCATTTCCATATATGTCTGTCCTTTCCATGTATGTCTGTCATTTCCATGTATGACTGTCATTTCCCGGTATGTTTGTCATTTCCATGTCTGTCTGTCATTTTCATGTATATCTGTCATTTCCATGTATGTTTGCCATTTCCATGTATGTTTGACATTTCCATGTATGTCTGTCATTTCCATGTATGTTTGTTGTTATACTCTGCAAGGGCTTGTCTTTCTTCCGCTCTTCTTGAAGCACGATATGAACTGATTCAAAATCGGGAACAGCTGAGTCCTATAACTTGTCTACGGTGAAACATACTATCACAGTAGGAGTCGTGCTTTTGTAATTGAAGGCAGTACAGTACGGATATACGTCGGAGACAGAACAAAATCTCGTTTTCATAGTATTGTAGGAGAAACGTATTGTTCTAGTATGAGTACTTTGAATACGACGTAATATATTGACGTGAGACTACACTGACTGCGTCGCATCTCTATGTAGGGAATGAGCTGTTCACTTTTGTCACGCAAATAAATAGCACATGAGTTCGTGTTGACAAACGTCGACTGTTTTGATTTGGCCTTTAGACTCCCTCACCCAGTTCTCAACTCATCGGCTCTCCTGTGTTCCTAGACACATCTCTGCCATGGGTCTTGAGGAGCAATTGCCCGTCAACCACGGGTCCTTCAAGCGCAACAACGGCCGAGTGGTGTACGGGATGGATGCTGAGCAGTGCGAGAAAGAGGTCGAAAGGTGAGAGCGTGGTCTCTGTATCGTCATCTCTGGCGTGAGCAGGCGACAGGTCATCGGGTTTCTATGTTACCGTGCCACAGTTGTCCGTCTTTGCGTTGTGCCGGGTTCGATGCGCACGTCGAGTGTCACCTCATATATATCATGCGTTAAAAAATCCGGTATTCATAATTGTTCTGCAACGTTCTTGCTGAAATTTGTAGAAAGAATTTCAACTTGTTTTTGATATCAGACCATCAATCAAAACCGAAAGTAGTTTAAACGTGTGTCCTCTGTCCAAGTACTACTCTGCCCCACTCACGCGTATTTCTTTATCTGTAGACGAATTCAAAACAAAGACGAGGAGAAGAAGCTGTGGGTGTGGATTGAAGGAGTCGTGAAGTGTAAACTAGAGTCTGACGATCCCATGGTACGGCTTTAATTTCATGGTGTACTATCTAAAGTTAGCTGGATAGGAATATACTTGTCCACTACCGGAAACCAAAACCAGTCTGCAGACTGAAAAAGTGAAAAGTGTAAATGCGTGATGGCTAAAATTTCAATTTGCAGTGGTAGATCGACACAACGGCAACACAGCGGCAATACATCGGCACAAATCTCAAAATGGATATCTGCTAACAACAACCAATCGGGGCGAGCGCTAATACAAGTTCGCTTTCAATGCAGGATGATATTCGGAGTGGCATCATAATGTGTCAGCTGGCGAATACGATCTGGCCTGGATCTTGCACCAAGTACAGTCTGGGACCCAATCCACTGTCGAGGATGGATAACCTTAATATATATCTCAAGGCATGCGTGGTAAGTCGATCATAATTCTGTATGTGATACTCATTCGCAAATTTCTGCCAACAAACCCAATGAAACATGGACTTATGTTTGCGGTGGCGTTGGTTTTTTAAATTATACGGGAAGTGGATGTTGAAATCTATCGATTCGGATGAAATCTAAGCGATGATGGCAGCACAGGCTCAGAATTATTAACAGGGCACTAACATGTAGGGGCAACAGTCACATACACTAACCGACAGTGACAGTCTAAAACAGTCACATACACTAACCGCCAGGGACAGTATCATTTATTCTGGAAGCACTTGTGCAACAATGATGACCGTGGTGTCTCCTCCTAATTCACTTGGCCCAACAGGACAACGGAGTTGACAAGGGCATCTGCTTCACTCCGTCTGATATTGAAGAGAGCCGATACAATGGCGTTCTTTCGCACATTCTGCAGATCTCACGAGTGGCTGCCCTAACCCCAGGTTTTAAAGGTATGGCTGTTGACTGGGGAGCATATTCAAACACTGCTCTGTGAATTGCGGCTGTATCTTGGACACCTTAATAGCGCGAGAGCTGCCATGAGCTACAACGTAGTCTATTTTCATATCATAACCATCACATTTGGTAACTATAGGAGGGTTACAACGTAGTCTATTTTCATATAACTATCACATTTTGATAACGATAGGAGTGTTACAACGTAGAGTCTATTTTCATATCATAGCCACCACATTTGGTAACTATAGGAGTGTTACAACGTAGTCTATTTTCATATAACTATCACATTTTGATAACGATATGAGTGATACAACGTAGAGTCTATTATCATATAACTATCACATTTGGTAACGATAGGAGTGTTGTAACGTAGAGTCTATTTTCATATAACTATCACATTTGGTAGCGATAGGAGTGTTGCAACGTAGAGTCTATTTTCATATAACTAACACATTTGGTAGCGATAGGAGTGTTGCACCGTAGAGTCTATTTTCATATAACTAACACATTCGGTAGCGATAGGAGTGTTGCAACGTAGAGTCTATTTTCATATAACTATCACATTTGGTAACGATAGGAGTGTGCATCCAACCTTTCAATTTTGCCAACATGCTCTAGGTGTCGTGGCACCATCGCGAGTTTGTCATGGTGATGCCAGTTTGATTAAAAGCAGGTCTGGATTTCTCAACCTGACTCCACCAGTACCCACGCATTTGTTCCGTTGTGGTTTTACCGTGAGATGTCCTTCATCTAGCTATCGTGTGCAATTAGAGTGTACGGTCGACATATCAAAACAAACTTCTATTGGTCGCTTAAAGGTGCTCAGCTGCACATTGTGTCTCGTATTGCAGGACCATACCTGGAGCCTGCGCACGAAGAATTAGCGAAACAGGCCAAAACCAAAGCCATGGCAGCCAATCGTGGTTTTTTTAGCGGGTTTATCGGCTTCTGTTTCAGTGCGGTGACGCTCTGCACTAAGTTTGTGGGGTATGTGGTGATCTCCCCAGTTTACGTTCCATATAGAATTGTGTCCTGGGCCATCGGCAAGTTGCGCGGCTCCCAAAAGGTATGTTCCTGTAATACAATCTCAATCGTCCAAGAGCTATGCTATAGATGAAAATAGATCCTACTAGAGGTGTAAGCACTGGAAGATCAGTCCTTGGGGTTGCTGAGTGTACGACCACTCACAATTATGTATGACTGGCAGTTAACAATCACGTGTGTATCAATGCTTGCTAATTGGTGCTAGTGCTGGGTTCCCATTTCTTTTAATTATGTATGACTGGTAGTTAACAATCACGTGTGTAGTCATGCTTGCTAATCAGTGCTAGTGCTGGGTTCCCATTTCTTTTAATTATGTATGACTGGTAGTTAACAATCACGTGTGTAGTAATGCTTGCTAATCAGTGCTAGTGCTGGGTTCCCATTTCTTTTAATTATGTATGACTGGTACTTAACAATCACGTGTGTAGTAATTCTTGCTAATCAGTGCTAGTGCAGCTATTCTGTTTTTAAGCGGGACATTCTTGTTCTTGATTATTGTTACCAGGTTGAAGCTCGTAGTAGTCGCACACCATTAATTCCGAAGAAAGCTGTTCTGGACCAGCACTCTCAACGAGCCTCATACGGTAGGATGTTCATTTGTGCGTGTACTGTGATACGTGCTTAAGCCGGTTTTTGCTTTATCCGGTATTTGTTTTTGTAGTTTACTGCTCATTGATGGGATTCTCTGTGTCTGATTTGTCTATTCTCGCTTTATTTTGTGCGACTCTCACTTCATCAAACTGCCTATGTTTAAAATGTATATTACCCCGAACTCAATCGTAGCATCTGATGCATAATAGGATGATCTACTGTAGTTTAGTGTACTTGAGTGTTTTGGCTCTGCTATTGCGTGTCATGGTCTGGATTTGCGTTCATATTATGGGATGTCGCGGTATGGACTGTTCAATCGTCGTATACTATGAGGATAGATAGTGCATTTTAACATCCGTTCTCTTGATAAATTATAACTTTATTTTTCTTGGTTTCAAATCGTGCTATATCTGCACGATTTGTTTGTCTGCGTGAAGCATTTATTATTTCATTACTAAATATGGATATTATTTGCCTATGGTTCCTACTTTCCTTCACCTTCTGTGTGTTATTTTGACGGATTGATTGTTTCCTACTATGGCCGTTGTATGAGCAAATATACCTCAATATGCGAACATATGGTTTGTATACCGATTGCTGAAACTGTGGCACAATCGTACCTACCAGTCTTCTTGTCGCTACAATAATAGCCTCTCAAGTCGTACCGATTTAACTACACGTACACACTCAGGTGCTTTTTACCTACACGTATACACTCAGGTGCATCCAACTACGAAAGAGACGAGACTGGCCGCTGGCGCGCGAAGTCTCCGGGCCGTCCATAGTTATTGTTTGTGAAAACCCCCACAGAAGTCATTCCGAGACACATTCACCGGCCCAAGTTGCTTTTGATCTGTGTACTGTGTAAATATGCTGGCCATACTTGCGAAAACGATATCGCTCCCACAGAAAAAAAACATCAAATAAACATGCAATCCGTAGCCCTGCTGCATTCTACATGTACACCAAACATTGGGTGTGTACGTACACGTGTTGATGCAAATAAAATACGTATACGTATCAGATCCAACGGTGATTTTAAGTAGGAAACTCGGTCAAAACACTTCTCGTGTACCTTCTGGCCTTGTTCTTCATACTGTATGGTATTTGCTGTACATTGGCTAAAGGATCAATATCATGAGACAACTATGGTGAGACTTCTCAAAATCACGACAAATCACATATCGTCTCTATTAATATTCGTAGAAAGCCCTGAGCATTATCAGGCTGAGGGTTTTCGAGAATTGGGATAACTGCCACTATGGACCTGAATGTAAATGCACCGTACTTTCTGTATCGACGCACTCCGGAACTTACGTACTTCATTTGTTGGTTGCACACATACAATGGATCCTATTCTGATGTGCAAAGAGAATGAGTTTACTTCATCTGTTGGTTGCATAATTCTATACTGATGTGCTAAGAGAATGAGTTTACTTCCTTTGTTGGTTGCATACATAGAATGGACTCTTTAGTGATGTGCAAAGAGGACTAGTTTACTTCATTTGTTGGTTGCATAATTCTATACTGATGTGCAAAGAGAATGAGTTTACTTCGTTTGTTGGTTGCATACATAGTATGGACTCTATACTGAGAATGAGTTTACTTCGTTTGTTAGTTGCATGCATAGTATGGACTCTATACTGATGTGCAAAGAGAATAAGTCTTCGCCTCGCATTCTTGTTAATAGTAAGCCTGTGGGTGGTACAGGCCCTCGGGTTTATTCAGTGCTCTCGTCAGTGGAGACGACGACTGGTACACTGCAGATGAGTGTAGTGATGATCCGCTTGGACGAGCCACTGACTCAAGTGCCACCTAACAAGAGTGAAAGTGATAAACGTTTGACAGGGAAGGATGATGCCCAATCGAGCACACAATACTCATAACTAGCATTCCATCGCAATATACGTATACGCTCCCAATCATATGCAATGCATGTATGTCCTGGATAGAACAGACCCTCAAAGTACACTCTCGCACTCGAATTCAATGGGCACATATAATAAGTAAACCCTCTGAGTACACTATTTACACGCACATTCAATAT